CCCCTGTCTATGTATACCTGGGTCAATATTTTTACATGTTACCCCTATTGCACTACGCTATTACCATGACTATGTAGCCTACAGAAAAAAAATAAACAACATGCATCATTTAGTACATTCTTTGTATCAAATCGCTGTGAAAGATTACAACCCCGTGAAAAAAACTACTTGTCACATGATGGGGCAAGCAGCTATATCCAACACTGGTATCGTGTATGACTTGGGTTCCCTTTTAGCGAGTTCAATATCATACAGAGCCTCTAGCTCTCCTGAAATCATTTAGCAAAACAACAATGGGATCAATTTTGAAATCAGCCTTACCAATTAACAGTCACATTTTCAGTGATGAGAAGTTCAGACTCAAAGACTTCACTCGGTGCCCCTGTGTGAGTCATCGTCTCATGAAAGACATGTTCGTAGATCACGACATTCTAATTCAATATTTTATGTGATAAAACACTTACAAAAGTCTCTCCCTGTTTGCTGTGGGTTTAGAATCTATCAACCGGTTGTTTGTTAGTGGGAGAATGATAAGATCAGGTATTGATGGCCCCGAGTCAGGCAATTAACAATATGAAATCATGAACGATTTCATCGACCTACTTCATACCCAGGGTCACAAAACACTAACTCTGTCTTTAGAAATGGACACTGTCAAGATGTGGGTATTGATTGATCAGCCAGGTTGTTAATTAAAGAAATCTCGGAGATTATTCAACATCACTGCCCAGAATGTTATAAGATGCTTGGATGAGATCGTGCAGTTGAGGCTAATTTTACCAGGTTTATGGCACTTTGGCAAAATTTGGAAAAATCCTAATTTGTTAAAGTTAATATTTTCATGAATCTTGGGTCTTTGAATATGGAAATAATGTATTAAGCATTAGAGGCTCTTCTTCATTGCCAGGTACCACCATCATTGATAAACGGTTACCACAAAGTCAATAAAAGTCAACAAAGCCATAAAATTAAATATAAATATATTCAACAAACTGAATGTTTTCATTTTAAATTTGAGAAGTTTTTCTGACATGTGCTCCCGATTTGGGGCTGAATTTAGGAGCTGAATATCACCCGGAACAGGTCTAGATAAACCCTGAAGCACACAGATCTAAACACAGATCACAGACCAGATAAGTCTGTTACCAACTCCATGTAAACAATCTGCCGTGCTGCTGTCGCCACGAAGGAAATCAATGTTGCTTGCAAGGCCTTGAATATGGCATTAGTTGGTTTACAAAAACGAACAAGCAATACGGATATTGGAAAAACATAAGTAAATAATTTCAGCCCAATCTGCAGGGTGCGTGGTGGCCAAATTAGGTCATAAGTAGGTGGTTATGCAATCGCAGGTGACAAACATATTTTTACCTGGACCCATCAGGAGTCGTAAGTTGAACAATTGATATAAGAACATACACTGAATGTGCTTACACACATTTTAATATTCTTGCTATGATGTCACTTTGCCATGACTGAATGACTGAGTTTGGTTTTACGCCGCCGCTTTTAGCAATATTCCAGCATTACAGCGTGGGACACCAGAAATGGGCTTCACACATTGTACCCATGTGGGGATTTGAACCCGGGTCTTCGGCGTGAGGAGCCAACGCTTTAACCATTAGGCTACCCCACCGCCCCACTTTGCCATGAATGCAAGTGAGTGAGTGAGTTTAGTTTTATGCCGCAATCAGCAATAATCCAGCTGGTCATGGCAGTCTGTATATAATCAAGTCTGGACCAGATAATCCAGTGATTAACAGCATAAGTATTGATCTACGCAAATGGGATACAATGACAATTGACATGTGTCCACTAGGTCAGCGAGCCTCAAACTCAAGATAAGCAGGTTAACTGTAGCGACTGGTACACAAGTTCTATGTACCGGTACATTCAAGATGCACTGGGTGTAGCGAAGATACATGCACTCATGCACTGACGACAGTCTGCACATGTTTGCACTTTTGTTGCAGGTGTCAATCATGTACCTCACGGTCTGCTTAAGGAGTGATCGACCTTATCATGCTCATCTCGTTAACAGATAAATACCACAACAGCCACTTTTGAAGTTTGGGTTCATGAAGTAAATAATGCATTACTGTGAGTCTAATAAACACAAGTACACCAGACCCAGGAAATCCACAACAATAATCCTTATACATTCAACAAGCCTTTATTAATCAATGTTTCCATAGACTAGAAGGACCCACTGTGGTTTTATGACGATTTTAGTAATATTCCTGTAACATCACAGCTAATAACTCTAAAATTTCAACAATAATTTATTAATGTTTCATTGACTGGAAAAGACACAGTCACTTAGAATATGCAAGTTTGGTTTTTTGTCGAGTTTTGTAATATTCATTCAGTATATTACAGGGGACACCAGAAATGGACTTCACACAATGTATCCATGTGGGGAACCGAACCCGGATCTTCAGTATGACAAACAAACGCTGTAACCACTGGGCTTCCACTCCGTACCTTAATATATGTAATCAATACTGAGTACATTATCAATTGATTATTGATGTTAAAGTTATATTCACATCTGAGACATGATGTAGTAAGACTGGACATTCATATCCATCATCCTTTCCCCAATACGCAATGTTCGCGCTAAAGAGATATTGAACTCCAACACTCTTATACTGATGTGTATGTACACTGTCTAACATTGTACACCACCATATGACAACAGCCTGTGAATAATTGATTCTGGACCAGACAATAACGTGATTGATGCTGCGAGCAGCGATCCATGATGTCAGGTCGAAGACGTACATTTAAGGTCACGTCAGTCAGTCCATTTAGTCCGACGGGGCTTACAGTGATAGAATAGCAGCTCGAACAGTTTTCACCCCAGACAGTATCTAAACAATTTGGACAATTAAAACCTCCACACGACACACAGACTTATTGTCAGATTAAGTCTACAACTGTTCTAGTAATATTCTCAAAACAGCAGAGCACGACCAGTAACACCAAAAAGGTTTCACAGCCATGTAACAGTGAACAGAATAACACTGGCCTTTAAATCATCCTTTCAGGATTGCCAGACACACTAGTGGCTTATCATATCATCAATGATTCATGCTGCTGGGGTAAGATCACACTTTGACACACAATCTGTCTGCCACAGATCACAATCACCCCAACCCCATTTTAGATGACCCTGCCTCCACCCACCCTTCCCCTGGGACATAGGGGCCAACAGAGAAACTTCCTGAGTGATCCTATATGGGGGTCTGATATTAGGGATAATACTGCAATGACCGAATACAGAACTTATCTAGGACTCCTTAGTACGTGACTTTCGAATACAAATTGGGAGAATATGTATTTTTTCAAAATTCTAATTTTCTTCCTTTTCTTAAATTCAGGATATTTTAACATTTCACTCAATGCAAAGACATAAAACTAAACATTAATTCCCTTCTCTTCTATGGACTGATTGTCTATGAAATGCAAGTCACCTCTCAACAACGCTCAAAGCCATTATTTATTACCATAATATGACTTTTGATTCCAGTTTGGAATTTTGACATTGCTTCAGATTTGGGTCTGAATATTGGCTCTTAGCGGGTCTAGCTAAATCACCACAATTAACTACGATACTCTACAGTCCATATGTTTTTCATTTCAACGGGCGAATTGGAAATCCAATTTAGAATGATCAGATTATGTTTATTCACATTTGTCATCATAATGCAGACACTACAATATGAATAATAACATTATGTATAAATTGGTCTGGCATTGTTTCCTATATGAACTATTTGGCTAATTAGGTTAAGACAGATCAAGCAGATATTGAGATAAATTGCCATTATAATGACAATCAGTAATTTAAAGTCATGTCAATAGAAACAAAAATATCAGCCTAATCATTGGAAGATCATCTCTCCACATGAATAACATATGATTGAACATAACTAACTCACACATTCAGTACGTTTACAGACCATTCAATTCTCCGTACAACTAGGTGCACTTGTACTCTGCATGACACAAGAAAGACACAAGCGTGCTCAATGTACGCAATCTTAAATAATTCATGAACAGGTTGAATTCTTTGTTTTTGTGCGTCATGACTATGTTTTTCCCACGAAGATGATAATGAGACAGAAAATTACCATGAGTCACAGCTTTGATGCATTAGGCTGTCCATCAATATCGATCGAACGTCAGTTCGGTCGCGGCAAGAACATATATGCTGTCTCCATGCAGAAGATCTTCAAGTACAAGATAACTGTAAAAAACACTGTTCATGGTTTAGACACACACAAGCTGGCTTACACAGCAACTTGGCAGTGCGATGCATTCTCATGCAGTGGTTGGTCTATTAATAGAATATTTATCTCCCACTGGCATTAGAGCATCTTTGGATCCAGGTGAAACAATGTCTCTCCCTTCATGGCATTATCTCTGGATTAAGTGTTTAAATGAAATGCATAGACACAGTAGACATGAGAAGATGTCGCGCCTAGCCTAACATCGCCTAGCAGAAGGCTTTGTAGCAAACTGATCATTGATTAAATCGAGTTCTAAGCAGCTGGTTGGTCTAATGCTTGCCCACAGACACTCATGTGTCTGTGTCCATGTTTTCGCTACATCCAGCTCTTCCATACACTGCTGTCTTTGTTATCTTTGAAATATAGCGATAAGGAGATTATTGTTCCAAGGCGCAAAATGGAACTGACATATCGCGCTCTTTGTTTTGAAGCGACTGAATCGAACATCATTTTCAAAACAAAGGTCATTGTGACGAAACAGTTCATTTGCACGTTATTCACAAGAGGCATACGATTTATACTAAGCTCTTTAGGTTGAAGTAGATACTATCTTGCCATACTTGATGTCAAATTACGTCACGCCATCATTCTAAAGGATATAGGGGTAGATATAACCTGCTTTTCTACCTCGCCTTGTGTTGAGTTCGCCCGATACCCCTCTCCAAACATGTGCCGTCGAAGAAGAATAAATTTCTTTAAACCTACCTTCACGCTTTGTCAGCTCATGCAAACACACGTGCAGGTATAATCTTGAAATATGTCAACGTCTGGCAGGTTTTCCTTCCGCCAAAATGAGCTTGAGAGCGAGAATCTGTCTCTTCTTCAGTCCTTTCGCCTGCTATGTTTATCTTTTTCCTGATGGCGGAAATAAGGTGACGTCAGATCACGTGACTAGAAAGTCTCACAGCAACACAAACAGAGGTCATGTGACTAGGTAAATCCCCGTCACAACAAATCGAGGCCAGTTGAGGACAGAGGCCGTTTCGGGGCAGATATCACGTCTCGCGGTGTCATAGTCGTCGTGTCTGGTTCGTTCAGAGCTGCGAAGGATTCAGCAAATGCGTACTGTGTTCTTTTGCACCTGGAACTTCTATTAACAGTCATGTTCTGAGAGGTGTTTTGACATGAACGATCACAGAATTGTCTGATTGTAAGATATCACAAAAATTAGATGCAGACGACCGATTTGATGCTCATGGTATTGCGCTGATTATATAGGCAGTATCTAAGGCAGCAACTAACTGATGTTTTAAAACGAACAATAACAATCACCAGCAAACGCTTGCTCAATATTTTCGGTTTGTTTGACGCCAAGTTTGTTTTGTTGCTATAAATACAAAGCACTATTTAATAAACAATATTCCTAATATTTTGACAGTAAATGAATGGCGATCTCTTTCACGCGATCGTTCCCCGAATGATGTAATTTTCCACAGGATGTCAGTGTCATTTTTTTGCAAACTCCTCTGATATGTTTCCACCACAAGCCAACGATAGATCTCATCAGGCTGTTTTATTTGTTGTTTTTGTTGGCTGTTTTTTATAATATTCATCAATATTGAGTTTATACGTCTCCGGCGTGGACCAGACAATCCCGTGATCGACACGAGCAATGATCCCAGTCGAAGTGCGATAAGACACGATTAACCAGGTCACCGATCATGGCCACCGATCCATTAAATCCTCTCAAACGATCAGGGGTACCCGTGGCAGATTAAAGACGGAATTTAGTTTATTAAGGAGCCACGACAACAATATTGAGGACGCTGCTGCTGCTGCTCCTACTACTACTACTACTACTACTACTAGTGAGTTTACTTTTACGCCTCTTTTAGCAATATTCCAGCAATATCACAGGGGAGGTCACCAGAAATGGGCTTCACACATTGTGAATCGAACCAGGGTTTTCGGCGTGACGAGCGAACGCATTAACTACCAGGCTACCCAACCGCATGGTAGACTAAGAGCGTTTAAAATGGGTGTACGAAACTAAGCTTATGATCAATCTTGGGGTTTCAGTCCACCATCAAAAACACTGACTCACTTTAATTAAACAAAGAAACTAAGTACAAAAAGATGCCAAGTCTTGATTATCCTCAGAAACAAATTCTTTTGGTTTAAAAGGAAAATAGCTGTGAAAATTACATGAGTGAGTAAGGTTTTACGTCGCTGTTAGCAATGTTCCAGCAATATCACGAAGGGGAAAAATTGGATAACCGAATGTCAGTGATGACACCAGGTGTTCTCTAGAATCACACCTTTTCTGCTTTACAAAATTTTAAAATAAGTTATTAATTGTACCATTAAAATATTCACACTATTTTCACTTCCAACCCGAAATGGACGCGGGGTTCATGAGAATTAAACTATTTTCCTGACAATACGTAATTCTCTCAGATGTCTTGATTTCAACAAAGTCAGACATGTACTGATCTGTTATCCACGCAGCCTCGAGTGTTAATAAACGATTGTCCGATTTAGATAGCCATCAAGTCATAAAGAGCTGGCAGTTGTTGGACACACTGATAACATGCTGCAGTTGCGGAAACTCGCCTAAACAAATGTACACAGCACTGGGTTGCCAGGAGACGGGTCAAGCAGCTGGAGACGTCTTGGTCAACACGCCTAGAAGGCTGTATGACAATTTGACCCGGAACAAGAGGACCTGTGTATTAATTATACGATCACAACACCCACGTCTAAACAACGGCGACTAATCACGACATATAAAGCAAAACCCCGTGAAACCGGGCGGTACTGCTGCCAAAGATATTGGCTGGTTTAGCATGTTTCCAGATTATTGATTTCTTTAAAACACAAGTCGTTTACAATATATAGATCGATGTTCCTTAAAGTAATGGTTCTAAACTTGGCTTCGTGATCATTATAGGACAATAGACGAGGACAACAGTGACGATTTGACTGTTTGGCTATTTTTTCATTATGACTGAATTAAAATATGCATGTTCTCGACGGTGGGTCAGTACGGTCAAGCGGGTGGGCTTGTAATGACACCTGAACGAGGCAGGAATACTAATGGCACCTACACAAGATCGTATCGCTACACATATGTTTTGCAACATATGAAAATATCAACCCGTGAAGATCCGGGTTAGAATTGGTCTTCAGCAACCCATGTTTGTCGTAAGAGGCGACTAACGGGATCGGGTGGTCAGGCTCGCTGACTTGGTTGACACATGTCATCGTATCCACTATCCGTAGATCGATGCTCATGCTGTTGATCACTTGTTTGTCTGGTACAGACTCGATTATTTACAGACTGCCGCCACATAGCTGGAATATTGCTGAGTGCGGCGTAAAACTAAACTCACTCACTTACCTTACTTGATTGATGGCAAAGCGTCGTGTGATGTGTGTAACAGTATTCGCAGACTAACGCTTAATTTTTGAATATATTTGACTTTGATGGTAACAAATACAACCATTTAAATTGAAACGGAGCCCCAGTGAGGTTGGAAATTCTGAAGAAATCTAGAAATGCTTCATTTAGGGCTTTAGCACTGCAGGGAGGACTGTGAGGCAGACTACCTTATACAGGGAGCGAGTAAGCATGGTTGCAAGCCGATAGCAATATTCTAGCAATATCACGACAGGGGATATCATAAATGAACTTCACACATTGTACCCATGTGGGGCATCGAACACGGGTCTACGGCGAAACAAGCAAACGATTTAACCACAAGGCTACCCTCCCGCCACCTTAGCTGACGGGTTGTGCGGCAATGACGTTCCGCTATCTTTAGGACGATTCGAGGTTTTGCCTTCAGTTCGCAGATGGCAGATAAACGTTGCCGGCGACGTAGTGGTGAGCTGTACGCCTGGCGACAGTTCTTGACCATGACCAGAACGTGGACATTGGTGTCATGGTTTAGGAGTGACATGCGAACTGAGTTGGCTATTGTCGGTAAATATATGACCTGCCAACAATATGTTGATGACAATTTAGTCCTGTGGTTGTTCCATTCAATGAATTATCGGCAGATATTTGAATGAACAAGCTGTGTCATGGTGGGAACACCACGTGTTGATCTACACCTCCCAACTCCATTGTTTGTTTGTAATATGATGCCCCACTCAGCAAAATTCCAGCTATATGACGGCAGTCTGCAAATAATCGAGCCTGGACCGGACAATCCAGTGATTAACATCATGAGCATCGGTCAACTTAAATCTGATACGATGACCTGGTGGTCGCCTTTTGGGTTGGTGAAGACCAATTCCAACCCGGATCAACCTGGTCCGAAATAATAAATAGCGTACAGAGATTTATGATTATTATACCATCTCATCAGTTTATTATTTTGTTGTCGTTGGTATTTCTAATACGTAAATATGATTTCGGGACTAAATAATAACTTAACATTAAATATAAGGCTGATTCAGGATATCACACTGACCATCCCAAGCTCTTCCGAAAACTCTTTTGATTTTCTACTAAAACAATTAAGCTCCTTGTAAACGAGATCCGTGTTGCAAACAACGTCCGTGACGGATTTCGAGACATCACATACACGTCTACACCACACCTATACCTATACCTATATTTTTCAATGACTTCATTCTGTCTTCGTACTGACAGTTTAACGAGAACATTCCACCTCATCCACCTGTAATTTCTATGTAGGTACCTATATAGGTTAGGTCACAGCGTGCAGAACAAGCTCAGCACCATTCAAGTAAGGCTTATATTGCGTCAATGCACTGGCAGGCTGCTGTCGAAGCAGGGCGGCCGCCTCCATTCATTCCCCAGGATATTTCAGATCGATCAGTCTTCAGTTCGGGAGAAATCGATGACGTTGTGTAGGTAGATTATGAAATGATAACGACGAATATATATGGCAGTGTTTGAGAATGAAAACAAGGGGGCGGGTGAATAGATTCCGTGCTCTCAATCGATAATTTTAAATAATTATTTTATGTTGATGTTTAGGGTTCGGCGTTCTCAGACTAATGTCAGAGACATTGACTAACGTTTAGTCTCTGAATATGTATATTTTACGAAACAAATAATTCCTTTTTGATTTATAAGGAACCCCAATGAGAAGGGAGACTGAGAAGGGAGACTCTCTCTGACTGATGGCAGGCTAACTAGCCTCCGAATATGTATATTTTAATGAAGCAAATAATTCCTTGTTAGATTTACAAGTGAGACGGGAAATTATATTCAGAAGGGGTATTCCTGAACCTGAGGAAATATAGACTTGCTTCATCCAGGGCTTTAGCAGCAAGAGCTGGATGGAAGGGAAATATTGCATTTCATGGACCGTGAGACAGACACAGATGAGGGACACAGCAGTGTTTTATGCCTGGATCCTAGTCTGTCTCACAGTCCCTGAACCACATTAATTTCCCTACTGCCAAGTCCTCTCTGCAGTGATAAAGCCCTAAATAAAGCAAGTCTAGATTTCCTCATGTTCAGGCTCTGGTCTCCCTAGGGCTCCTTTTCAACATAAATGGGCTTGTTTGTTACTATCAAAATTATATATATTCAGAGACTAAGCCAACTACCTGAATCCTAGCTTCCACACATAGAGAGTCGATCGTTAAACTGTGGAAACTCGGAATAAAGCTTGATATCAGTCTATCCAATTCCCAGTGAGAAATGATCCGTATATGTATTATTCAGTGAGATATGATATTAATATTTCTTTTCACAGTGAGATGTCATTTCAGTATATGATATTTAAAGTGAGATGCTATATACATTTGTTATATCCAAAGTGAGATGCTATATAAATATGTTATATTCAAAGTGTAATGTGATATCAATATTTCTCTTCACAATGAGATGTTATTTCAAGATATGAACTATACAGTGAGATGGATATAAATTTGTGATATTCAACGTG